ACCACTTTGGTAGTAACCATCCATCTTAACTTACAGAATTTTTCAAACCGGGATATTATAACAAATTGTCCATAATTAAATATCATGTGATCAATCAATATGAGGTACTAATCAATATGTATCTCTTTACATCAATCGTTGCATTCAGGTCTCAATTCTATGTTTAACTTTTGAAAATTAAGTAATTAAATTCAAATCTGCCAACATTAATAAATAATATGTAGATCATAAAAAATTTCATCATATAAATTACTAGGGACTAAAATTAGAATTGTACTAACACCTTCTACAAATTATAACAATTCAATTAAAGTTACATTAGCATGAGAGAAAAAAATAATTTGTATGGGTAGATCATATATCTATTCGTCAACAAGACACATAAATAATTAATAAAAAAAATTTTAATAGGTTGATCGAATATGACAAAATCAAATATAAAGGTCTAATTTAATTAAACCATCTAAACTAATTAGTTTAAACATGGACCATTCTAAGGATATATTACCTAACTCCACCTACATTGTCATATTTCATACTCATTAATTCATTCATTAAACTCTCAACTTCAGTCTTATTGAATACCTTGTATCTCTCTCCTACAGCGGTGAAGAACTCATTGGCATTCTTGGTTTCAGGCAAGCCACTCATAAGGTGTTAAGAGATAGACATTTTCATAGCAATCACACTCAGCCTATTATATTTCTCCCACTTGGCATAAAGTTCTTTTTCATCAGGCGAGCTCTCACCAGTAGGTTTGACAGATTCATTCTCTATCAAGATAAAGTCTATATCAACAATTCCCAGAGAAAACTCAATATCTTGCTTCCATCTCTTATAATTAGAACCAATCAAGACTTTAATGTTGACATTATTACTATTCATAACAAAAGTGATTGGTCAAAGTAATGAGAATATAAATAATTAGCAAAATTAGGCAATAAATAAATAAAATATGCTTTGAACATAATAAGATATATTTTATTAAGAGAGTCCAAATACATCACTACAAACTCCCATTTGGACAGAGAATGCATATGCTATAGGTCATTTCTTTCATGAAACTAACAAATGAGAATACTCAAGTTTTAAAAAATTTATTCCCTTTGAGCAGATAAACCTTCTAGAATATTGCACCTCTACCACAATGTTTCATGACATCTCCAAATTACAATACATAGCAATCCCCTTTAGGCAGGCAATTGTATATGATAATTTAGAGATAATCCCGTAACAAATGTATGAGAAAAACTATAAATTTCAATGAATAGACTATTTTGGTGGTAACCATCCATCTTAACTAATATAATTTCTCAAACCAGAATATTATAACAAATTGCCCATAATTAAATATTATGTGATCAATCAATATGAGGTACTAATCAATAAATATCTCTTTAGATCACTAATTATCAATCGTTGCATTCAGGTCTCAATTCTATTTTTTACTTTTGAAAATTAAGTAATTAAATTCAAATCTAGAACACCTAAATTACAAGGTTTAGAACATACTTGTATGAGCTATGATACTCGATCTCCGAATTTATTTCGTGAAAGGACAAGGTCTTCCTCTCATTCTTCAAAACAATAGGCGGTTCTCAATAAGACAAGCCAATTTAGGGTTATGAAAATAGAAAGGGGACCTAGTCTGTTATTTATAATGAAATCTAATGGGCTCTCCCATTACGAGCCACAATTGGATTAAGGCTTACACTTAACCACCTCAACCACATCAATTAAAAGATATACATAAACCCATCAAAATAGATCACTTAATAATATTATGCTCAACTCATTGGACCATAAATTCAGCCAATTTTTCACAAACTAAAAATTAACTATTAATTAATAGTAGTCCAATATAAAAAAAAATTCCAACAAAACATGCATGTGTAATAGACATAAAATATCCAAATTGACACTATGGAACGAGAAAAAATTATCGTGAAGACTAGACGAATCTTACAAAGAAGTCAGGAGTTCGAATTTTTTCACAAGATTCCCATGGTGAAAATAATGGTACGAAGAATTGGCTTGGTCCAAAATCTAAACTCATAGAGTAAAACAAAAGCCCCTCCCTTCCCTCCCCCCTTCCCCCCCCCCCCCAAATTTAACAAGCCTAAATATAAATTTTTTAGTACTTGGGCTCTTATTAGGACACAAGAGGGCCTCATGTGACAGTGTCGCACCTTTGATATGTATTTCTGGGTAGTGATGATCATCTGGTCTTCCACTTCTTGTTGCTCATTGCCTAGAATCTACGACAATGCACTTGTTCGACAAGTTCAAGGCTTAAGGAGAAGCAAAAAAAGATGATTCTTACTGACTTGATCTTGCTTCTGAGTAGGGATGGCAGTGGACCAGAGAAAAGCGGGTATTCGTCCAAACCCGGCCCGTTTGGACAGGGGATGGACTATATGTATTGGACGGTGGACGTATACGGGGATACCCGTATAAACCCGTACGGGGATGAAGGCGGGGATGAACTTACCCTTACCCCTGCCCCGCCCCCGTATATATATATATATATATATATATATATATATATACACTCGCAAGCTTTAACAAAACATATTTACTGTAACTACTAATTTAGAAATATGGTAATCAAACTAACAAGTGACATTGCTATGTGGTAATCTTATCAACTTTTTTCCTGATTATTTTTTTTCTATTTGTGTTCACTGATTGAAACTGTTATGAGTTTGATTTGACCATGCTCTAAAAACAGATAAGAGAGAGTAAGATAGTTTTGCATTTCATTGTGGATAGAAATATTGTGAATGGAGGTTGATGAGTTTCTCTGCTAGAGTGAACAAAGAAATTGGGAGAATTATTGAATTAGCAAAATTTTAAGTTTTCATCTTTTAACACTTTATGACTGTAATATGAATTGTAATAATAAAAATTCTTCTAGGAAATTTCAAGTGTAGTGCTATCGTTTTCTTAGTTCAATTTTTTTTTTCTTCCTTTCTCTCTAATAGTTCTGTTTCTCTTTTTGTGGTCCAATGACACTTTAAACATAATACTATATTGTTTTGACTTTTACATTTTGTAATTTAGATTATTCACTAGATTATTTAGAATGTTGTTGAATTATTTAAAATATTAGATTTATTTAGAATTATGGATTATACTACTTGAGCTTGGGTTTGAGCTTAAGCGGGTATGGGAAGCGGGGACGGGGACGGGGACGGGGACGGGGATTAAAAATTTATCCGTGGACGGGGATGAGAATGAAAATTATACTTGTTAACGGGGGTGGACCGGAGATGGACAAAATTTTTTTAAGCGGGTACGGGGATGAAGACTACACTCCCCGCCCCCCGCTTCGGTCCACTGACATCCCTACTTCTGAGGCCATTCTTCCACAGAGAATGCTCAGGATGAAACCAATGTTAAGTGCTAAATGAAACTGGTTTAACCTAATTATATTTCCACCATGGTAGTAATGTGTTGCTTTCACCCCCCATATATAAGCTCTATAACGGCGGGTATGAAGAATTGATTTGCATTACTTTTGCTGATTATGGTGTTTTACATTTCGTCACCAAAAAAAAAAAAATGATACCATAGTCAAACCCACTTTTCAATTGAAACCTAATGGTCATCATGTTGGTCAAAACAAAATTACATAAAATCTCAACAAAAGCGGAGTTCGATTCAAGCAAAAGAACGGATTTTTATTGTATCATTTGGTTCTCATTGATTTTATTTTGGTCTAATATTTTTCCTTACCTTGTGTGAAAACTTTGTTTTCTTAAAATCAATGATTCAATTGGCAATTTTGTCGGATAAGAAACTATCTTATTCGGTTGTGAATAGCAATATGGATAACTTGTAGGATCAAATGGGCCAATAATTTAGCCACATAAATCATCTAGGATTGTTGTGGATGTGTGTATATCTCTACGTATTTGAAAAATCTAAATATATAATTCCTATGAGAAATATTATACTTTGAATCCCTTAACTATTCAGAGTTGTTCACACACTACGTCAAAAGTAAATGTCCGCCACATTATGTCCTAAAGTATTAATTTTATTTCATATCACTCTAATAGAAAATGACTGTTAATTTTTTTACGATAAATGTGCATGTGAATAGTATGTACTATCCTTAAGTAACTGTCTATATGCTGATCAAAAATTAAGAAAAATAACAATTTATGACTTTGCTCTTCCTAAACTCTAAATTTTCTTCTTCTAATTGACCTTCTTTTTCTTCCCAACAACCATTTGGTTGCAAACGAGGTAAAGTAATGTAGTACTAGACACTTAACGGGAAGCTTTTTGTTTGACAGATTTTTCAGTTTGTCGTTATCTATTAGAGTGATATGAAATAAAATTGATACTTTAAGGTATAATATGAAAAATTTTATAATTAAGGGCATAAACTGAAATGAGAATAATAGTTTAGGGGAATAAAATGTAATTTACTCTTAGCCGGACGAATCAAATTATGGTACAATAGAAAAAGATAGGTGAATGTTATGCTTGGCAGACAGTCCATGAAATTGAAATTTTGATAATTTCTTTAGATTTGATCTTAAGAAATTTATCTTTTATGAATTTCTTAATCTTGAAATAAATGACTTGCATTTGAATGAATTGGAGAATAATTAATTAAAAAACACGTAAATTGATATAGACACCTTGATCATTGATCAAAAAAAGACAGCCCTTGAAAAGTGAAGTAAGGGAAACGCTACGGACCGAAAATGATAGCGTACCAAAATGTATAATTTTTAAAAATGTCAAATTACAACTCAGTAAAAAAAATTACAATTAATTCAAATAATTCATCATCGATAGCAGTAAAGACTTGACTCAGGTGGTGTGCACGTGAGTAAGGACCACTGGACCACCAACCTTATCTTCTCATCTTTCTGTACACGTGGCGTGCCTTGTGTGAGATTACGATTACTACCTACACGTTTCATCTGTAAAGCTATAAGGCTACGTTTGTCTATAAATGCTCGTTTCATCACAGCCGGTCCATATCAATCACAAGGCAAGCTAAGGAAAAAGCATAACATTTAGGGATGGCTTCAATTTGTGAAGGTAAAGATCTCTTTATAAGTTCTATTGTTAAGAATATTTTTAGAATTTCAATGCTAAGTGGATAATATAGTAACATAATTCGACTAATATTTTTTTTTGTGCTTAATGATTCAGGTAAGAGTTCATGGCCAGAGCTTGTTGGGACGCGAGCACAAGATGCAGCTGCAATAATTGAGAGGGAAAATTCATTGGTTACTACTATCATTATGTATGAAACTTGCCCCGCCACCCGAGATTTTAGGTGCGACAGGGTTCGAATATGGGTTGACTGCAGTGGCACCGTTATCCGAGTACCTGTGATTACTTAGCTCAGAAGAACACGTTCTGAATTACAAATAATTATCTAGTATGGTGTGTATTTGAAATAATTCAACACATAGACATTGCCATCTACATGTGTTGTACTAAACCTTAAATAAGGAGTTCCCACTTTGTTAATCATCTCTCTCTCTCTCCCTCTCTCACACACACACACACGCTATTTTGCCACTGCTGGGGTCCTTGGGCTGTTTTGCAACTTGAATTAAGTGCAGCAACTTGAGAGGGTCGAACCTATTTATGATAAATGAACTCTAATATTGGTTAAGCACCTAATTCCTAGGAAAAAAGAACAAATCACTATTTCCAAAAGTTCTTACCTTTAGAGGAATGTTGGTTAAGCATCTAATACCTGAAAACTGTTGGAGTTGACTTATTTGTGTTTTTGCAACTGCGGATAAAATATGTTAAAAAAAAATAACAACAAATGACCAAAATGGTAAAATCCTATCCGAACACGAAACCTAGAAACACCAAAGCATAGAATCAAGAGATAATTAACGATGATACATTTTGACTGCTATAACTTAAATTATAATGTAAACAAAAAGCTTTTTTTTTTAAGAAAAAGTAAATTTTCGAATTACTACACATTTATGTCAAGTCCTTTTCTTGTGACTACCGATAACTATTGCCATTTGTCTCATGTAGAAGTATTATTCCACGTTTACAGAAGGATATTGCCTCGAGGATATTCTCGGCATTTTTATTTTATTTTATTCAATTTTCGGATCAACTTACGTACATTTTAATTAATCTATTTTTTTGGTTCGGTCAAAAATAGTTCATAAACGTTGGACTATAGTATTCATGAGAGATAAAACTTTCTTGATCTGACCCTAAAAAATTACCAAATTTTAAGCTTATAACGTCTATATTTATAATTTATTCATATTACCACTTAAGCTCTACAATGACGAGTATGAAGAATTGATTTTCATTACTTTTGACGATCATGGTGTTTTACATTTCGTTACCAAAAAATAAAAATCGATACCATAGTCAAACCCACTTTTTCCATTGAAACCTAGTAGTCATCATGTTGGTCAAAACAAAAACTACTAAAAATCTCAGCAAAAGCGGAGTTGGATTCAAGGGAAAAAAGAGATTTTTCTGGTACCATCTAGTTCTCATTGATTTTATCAATGAATCTTTGGTCCAATGTTATACCTTACCTTGTCTGATAATCTTATCTTTTTAAGATCAAGAGTTCAATTGGAGATTTTATTAGATAAGAAACCATCTTATTCAGCTGTGAATAGCACTATGGATAACTTGTGGGATCAAATGGACCAATCATTTTTGACATTTTTCAGTCATATCCATCCCTGAAGATAAATTTAGCCACATAAATCATCTAGATAAAAACTCCAAGGATGTGTGTATATCTCTTCGTATTTGAAAAATCTAAATAGAACTCCTATGGGAAAATTTATACTTTGAATCCCTTAATTTATTTACGTTGAAAGTAAATGTACACGTAATTGACACTCTATCAGTCAATTGTCATCCTACCTGTAATGTTTTTTCCTTAGTTTTGTTTGTGATTGATTAACATTTTTTTTTTAAAGTTTTACCCCTTGAATTATAACAGCTGGTATAATTTACCTTGATACTCTATTGCCATCCTACCTGTAATGCTTTTTCCTTAGTATAGTTTGTGATTGATTAACACAGTTTTTTTTTTTAATTTTTTCAAAAACAATTTAGTTAGGGGTAAATTACATTTTACCCCTTGAATTATTACCCCTGTTTTACTTTGTACCTTCAATTATAAATTTTTTTACATTACTCTTTAAAATATCAATTTTATTTCATGTCAATCAAAGGGATAACAACTATCAATTTTTGACAGTAAATGCGCATGTGAGTAATCGGTATTGCCAATAAACAATTGTCTATTGCATATGCGCAGGTCAAAAATAAAAAAAAAATACTTATCTATGACTTTACCCTTTCTAAGTTCTAAATTTTCTTCTTCTAGCCGACCTTCTTTTTCCTTCGAACAACCATTTGGTTGCAAAAGAGGTAAAATAAAATGGTACTAGACACTTAGTCAGAAGCTCTTTGAGGTTTCCCTCCCTCATTTAATAGATTTTCAAATTTGTTGTTATCCATTGGAGTGATATAAAATAAAATTGATACTTTAACGTATAATGTGAAAAATTTTATAATTGAATGTATAAAGTAATATAAGAATACTAGTTTAGGAGAGTAAAGTGTAATTTACTCCTAATTAGATAAAGATGGACTAATTGCATGCATCAAATTCTGGTACAATAGAAAAAGTTAGGCGAATGTTTTACTTGGCAGACTGCCATGGAAATGAAATTATTCACTCAAATAATAATAGTGACAAGGTGTAAATCAAAACGTTCTGAATTTGAATTTTAGTAATCTCTTGATATTAGATCATGAGAGACTTATCTCTCATATAATTCTTAGTCCCGAAATAGACGAATTGCATTTGATTGGATCGAAAAAAGAATTAGTCAAAATATACGTAAACTAACACAGACACCTTGACCCCAAAAAAAAAAATAGACAGTCCATGAAAAGTGAAGTAAGGAGAACACTACGGACCGAAATTAAATGTTAGTTTAGGGTTAATTTGATGTGAATTTAATAAAATTGAATATCGATTTGATGAGATTGAATATTAGTTTGCTAAAATAAAATGATAATTTTATAAAATTTAAAATCACTTTAATGTTAATTTGATAAAATTTTGTATTAATTTGGTGTTAATTTGATCAAATTGAATATTAATTTTATAGTTAACTTGATGAAAGTTAATGTGGTTTTGATAAAATTTAATGTTAATTTGGTTTTAATTTCATGAAATTGAATAGTAATTTGGTATTAATTTAATAAAATTGAATATTAATTAGATGAATTGAATGTTAATTTGATGAATGTGTATGTTGATTTGGCAAAATTTGGTGCTAATTTGATGAAATTGAACATTAATCAAAAAAATTAAATGTCAATTTTATGTTAATTTGACAAAATTATAGATTAATTTTGTATTAACTTGAGTAAAGGTAATTAAATAAAATGGGAGTTCTAATAAAATTACATATTATGTTAAATCTATTAGCAGACAAAAATTGAAAGGGTATAAAATAATATTTCAGAAATTAGAGTGTCAAAAAAGTATGACTTAAATTCAGTGAGTATTAATGAAATTTATCCAAGTTTAAATCATGGAGATTGCACGAGAATTTCATGGGTTTATCAATGCTGCCTAACTTTGTACTATCCTTTGCTTTTCATAGCCACAACTATTTGGCACTGTCTACCGTCTGTGAGACTTTAATTACTATATACACATGTTTTACTCATGCCCCTTTGCTATACTTCTATTTTTCTCTTTCATCTGTAAAGTTATCAATCCATGTTTCCCTGTAAATACCCATTTCATCACAGTCAGTGCGTATCAATCACAAAGCAAGCTAAGGACGAAGCATAACACTTGGGATCGATTTAATTTGTAGAGGTAAAGAGCTCTTTTTTAAGTTCTATTGCTAAGAATACTTTTAGAATTTCAATGCTAAGCAGATAATATGGTAACCTAATTCGACTAGAACTTTATTGTGTGCTTAATAATTCAAGTAATACAACTTGTCTCGTCACTGCTGAACTTAGTTGCAATAGGGTTCGAATTGCGATTGACTTGAGACAGTTGTCTCTATTATTAATGATGTAACTTTAATATTTATATTTAATCAGAAAGTAGTTAAAAAGTAGAAAATGCATCAAAGTAAAAGATTTTTTGTACTTAATTAATAAGGTGTTAATATCATATTTGTAACTTTTAATTACATATAATTCAAAAGATTTTTTAAACTTTTAATTACATACTACTTGATTGCAGTTACATTGCTACATAATATAAAGATACATCAACCAAAAACACATATGAAAATATCGAATAATTTCCATAACACATCCAATATAGCAATACTCAGATCCTACATAGAGATATGGACACAGCACGCCTGTTCACTGTTGTCTTGCTTTTCTATTTAGTCAAAGAGAGTTCATCTACATCGAGATTATGATATTTGTAAAAGATAAATCTCTCATAGTCTGATTCTAAAAAATTATAAAATTTTAATTTTATAACATCTATATTTTTAACTTATTTCTTGATTTTAAATCACCGACAATTTTACAGATGAATGAGAAACGTAAAAGTATAGCTAAGGTCCATGAGTAAAACATAGATGTGTGTGTAGTAATTGAAGTCTCAAATACTGTGTTCTGAGTAGTTTTGGTGTGTAAACTAATGTGTGTATGTGCATGTTTTTGTTCAAAAATAATAAAGTACATCTTATATCGCTTGTTTAGCGCCAAAGACTGGAGTATAAATGTCCTATTCTCAATTTTCCTTTTAAGAGGAATTGGTATATAGATTCCTCTTCTGGTATGTGTTCTGAATAGTTTTGGTGTGTAGACTAATGTGTGTGTATATATGCATGCCTTTGTCCAAAAACAACAAAGTGCATCTCACATCGCTTGCTCAGCTCCGAAGACTGGAATATAAGTGACTTATTCTCGATTCTACTTTTAAAAAAATTGGTATGTGAGTCCCTCTTGGTGTATGTTCTGAGTAGTTTTAGTGCGTAGATTAATGTGGGTGTATATGTGCATGTTTTGGCCGAAAAAAAAAAAAGTCTCACAGACGGTAAATAGTACAAAGTAGCTGTGGTTACGAAAAGCAAGGGATAGTAAAAAGTTTGACAGCATTGATGAAAAGCAAGGGATAGTACAAGCATTGATGTGTAATTTTCGTTGACGTTTTCTGGATTTATGTCACCAGGGGGACCATTACTTACAGAACGAGGACCATGGGCAGGGGCAGGGGCTATAGTATCTTTCCGGTGGGGGCAAGTGCAACTATCCGATGGAAGAGAAAGACTAAACAATAATTATTAAAATTTGTTGTATTTTGCGAAAATGATTGTTTAATGAGTAATGTTAAATA